GTAAACCACAATTGGCAGGGTTTATACAACATTAATTAGCGTGATATAACATACAAGTAGCCTTCAGTCTAATTTCATAACTCCACTGTAGATGATCTAGAAAGACTTCTAGAAAGTATATATTTCCAATCTCTTCCATTCCAATAATCCAGATGAAAAACTCACAGCAAATCAGTATACCTAACCAACCTTAAAATATCAGGATATTAGGGACACTAGAAACTCTTTCTGTTTAAAGTTTGAGCATTCTAGACATATATTAAGTTTGTTTTTACATTTCCTACGCTGAGAATATTTGAACATCCTAAACCAGGGGTAGTCAACCTTTTTATACCTACCACCCACTTTTGTATCTCTGTTAGTAGTAAAATTTTCTAACCGCCCACCGGTTCCACAGTAATGATGATTTATAAAGTAGGGAAGTAACTTTACTTTATAAAATTTATAAAGCAGAGTTACAGCCAACCCCTACCGCCCACCATGAAAGCTGGAACTCTCACTAGTGGGCGGTAGGGACCAGGTTGACTATCACTGTTAGTTAGTTAGTTAGTTAGTTAGTTAGTTAGTTAGTTAGTTAGTTAGTTAGTTAGTTTATTAAACTTGTATGTCACCCTATTCCCAGCGGGACTCAGGGTGGCTAACAAACCAATAGGAAAGGGGGTCAATACAAAGAAAACAAACAAGACAGGACAAAATACAAAAAACAGATTAAAAAAACTCCTCAACAGCCGCAACAATTCGAGTGGGGCTGGGAACTCAACAGCCCCAGGCGTGGTGGAACAGCCAGGTGTCGACGGCTTTGCGGAAAGACTGAAGGGTGGTGAGGGTCCGAATCTCCACGGGGAGATCATTCCAGAGGGCCGGAGCAGCCACAGAGAAGGCCCTCCCCCGGAGGGTCAACAGTCGACATTGGCTAGCAGATGGAATCCGGAGGAGGCCTAAACTGTGGGATCTAATTGGTCGTAGGGAGGTAATTGGCAGGAGGTGATCTCTCAAGTACCCAGGTCTGATACCATGTAGGGCTTTAAAAGTAACGACTAGCACCTTGAAGCGCGTTCGGAGTCCAATAGGCAGCCAGTGCAGCTCGTGGAGGATAGGTGTAATGTGGGTGTATCGGGGTGCACCCACAATCACTCACGCGGCTGCATTCTGGACAAGCTGAAGTCCCCGAATGCTCTTCAAGGGCTGCCCCATGTAGAGCGCATTACAGTAGTCCAGTCTTGAGGTCACAAGGGCGTGAGTGACTGTTCTGAGAGCCTCCCAGTTCAGGTAGGGATGCAATTGGTGCACCAGGCGAACCTGGGCAAATGTCCCCCTGGTCACAGCTGACAAATGGTGTTCTAAAGTCAGCTGTGGATCCAGGACGACTCCCAAATTGCGAACCCTGTCTGAGGGGCGTATAATTTCATCCCCCAGCCTGAGAGTTGGAATACAAGGCCAATTATTGGGATAGTGCCCTAAACAGTGTCCTAAACACTGTTTTCTGCAGGTTCTAGAAGGAAGATAAACATAGATATATATGTATGTATGTATTTGTGTGTGTGTGTGTGTGTGTGTTGCAGCCTCAAATAGATATATATGTATGTATGTATGTGTGTGTGTGTGTGTGTGTGTGTGTATTTGACATTGAAGAAAAACAGCTGAGTTCTGTTTACCATGCAACAATTGCCATCTTATCTTGCCTTTTTGACAACTTGGCTGCTTTGGTGGACTTTGTTCTGAACTAAATATAAACATTGTTGAAGTGCAGTAGGATGAAAGCAAGAGAAGCATTTAAATATCTTGTATGTCTTTGGCTTTCTAGTTGGTGAGTTGATATCCCTTTGTTTCGCATCATTTAAAAAGGTATAATTGATTTGATGTTGATGATGGAGAATCATGTACAGAACATGATTTTCTGTTTAGTCCTAATTAATGTTTCAAATGCATTTTCACAAAGAATACAATCCATATAAAAAATCTTTTTTCCCCAAATACAGATAATTAGACAAAGGAGCAAGAACGTACCAACTAAGCCTTGATCTTGGCAATTGTTCAGATATATCCCATTATATAAATATTTAAATCTAGATTAAAGCTATGAATGTAGAGTTGAAAGCAATTACATTTTTACCTTTTTGAGAATATAGGTGGGCCTGGAGGGATGTGCAGTGGAGTTAGGTGATCAGTGGATTCCAAAGTTTTCATTACTACAGAATCTCCATCTTGTACATCATTGTAATAGGTCATTCTTGGACACACCTCCATCTTAAACTGCTAGGGAGAAGACCTAAAAACAGATAATTTCAATGGTCTGGTTCTGAAACCAACCAAACAAATACATTTGAATACACATTTAGATTGTATTGGAATGCTAAATATGTTTGAACAAATAAAATGGATAAGAACTTTTAGCATTTAACATAAATAAGGGAGGGAAGATTTCTAAAATAGAGACAGTCATTTTGCATTTTTAGTAGATCAAGGTTTCTAATTAAAATAAGAATTTTATTTGTCAGAAGTCACATAAAGCAATCACAATCACAAAAAAATGAATGTGATGTAATGATGATTTATTTTACTAGTGTATTGGATTGAGTAAAATATGCATATTATGAATTTAAGTATTTCTGAATATAGTGATATAACAAGAAGAAAAGACATTTTGATTTCCTTTAATTCATGACAAAAAGGCACAACACATTCCCACTTGCAAACTTTGTTTGTTCAAATGATCAAATATGCAACTGTTAAATGCTATATCTTGCAATTATAGTTATTTCAGCCTTCTCAAACTAGGTGTTCTTCAAATGTATTAGCAATAGTAATAGCACTTAGACTTATATACTCCTTCACAGTGTTTTACAGCCCTTCTAAGCAGTTTACAGAGTCAGTATATTGCCCTCAAACAATCTGGGTCCTCATTTTACTGACCTCGGAAGGATGGAAGGCAGAGTGAACCTTGAGCTAGTGAGAATCGAACTTTCAGTCAGCTGGCAGTCAGCAGAAGTAGCCTGCACTACTGCACGTGGATGCCACCACACACCAATTCCCATTTTAATCAGCTACCATAAAAAAGATATACATACTCTCTAGAAATTATGGGAGTAGTTTGAATACAGTGAGAAGGTGTTCAGTTGAGGAAATGTCTTTGAATTTTGAACTCTAGGGACAGAGAAATCTATAGTCTCCCAACTATGGCTAAATTAAATTCACATTGACTACATGCTGATAGGTATGACTCAGTTTATGATTCACTTTTCTCTTGCAGCCTCAAATCCACCTACCTTTCCATTTAAGTGTTGTGCAGGATACTGAATTACTTTCTTAGCTAGTCCCCCAAGTTTTTATCTGACATCACAATGACTTGGTCATCAACTCCTTGTGAAATAGAGGAGATTGTCCTCAGTCTTGTTTCTAGAGTAAAAAGAAATGTCTGAATTTGCATAATAGGCTTTAATCAAATGAGGCTAAACAGTGAAACATACTTTTAATACTGTAGGGAAAAATATTGGTGTCTGATTTACTCAGGCAGGAATGAAAGTTAAGTTAATTAAGATATAGAAAAACCTTCTGCAGCCAAGATTATAAACTATAATCTGGAAATGATAAAAAATGATAAAACAGAAGAGTGCTTATCTTTCGGTAAAACTAGATTTTGATTCTATTCCTACATAAAAGAAAATAATCTGCCTTATCTAGTGTTGTAAATATCAGTTTTAAGCTTTGGTGGACAACTTCTGCACTCTAGTGGCCACAGGATAATTCTGAAAAGATCTAACTTTAGTTTTTCAAATTCACTCATAACTTTGAAATTATTCAATATTAGAAAAGGAATAAATCTCTTGTTAGTATGTCTACTTTTTCATATTGACAAGAGTTTAAAGTGTGGTTTAGCTACAGTTATGATCTCTTCGAGGCCATAAAATGATGCCAATATGTTGACTGTTTATGGCTGAGCTCAATTTGTGTGATTAATTTCTGAGGGGAGACAATGAAGAGAAACAATTGTCACCATTTAAATCAACATTAAGAATTCAGCAGCATATAAGCTACATGCGATTCTAACATTCCCTCACTTTACCATTAAAATTCAGAAATAACATTTTCACATTTCAGAGGCACAATTTCAGATCATTTGAGGGGAAGTTTGAGGTAGGCTGGTATTAAGGGTAAAATGGGTTCCCAGAACTGCTCCATTCCTAGTGTAGCCTCCAAAAGACAAAAGTGCCAATGTCTTTGGCCCTGATCTCTCTGAGACATTATAGCGTTAGGAGAAAATACCTGTGATTATCTAGAAGAGTTGGGAATTGGACTGCTGCTCTAAATCCACAGACATGAGCTGCCCATGGTTTAAATTAAAATATACTGTATGTCACCATAGTGAAGAAGGCTATCTGAAGGATACTTATGGATGATGATTCTTTTCTATATAAGGGGACAACAAGGCATCTAGCCCATTATGCATTTAACCACAATGTTGATTGTTTGGCTTGGTTCTGAAGGATGAATCCAGCTATTGGAAGTTAAAAAATGATGGTTTATGAATTAATGCTATATTGGAACCATACTATTTGTATGTTTGCATCCCACCTTCATTATTTTACAAATAACTCATGGCAGCGAACATATCCAACAAACCTTCCTTCTCTAATTTTCCACATACCAATCCTCTGAGTGAATTGGCCTGAGGAAGAGTGACTGACCCAAAGTCACCCAGCTGGCTTTCATGGCTAAAGCAGATAAAACTACAAAACTTACAGTTTCCTGCTTTCTAGCCTGGTAACTTAACCACTGACTATTATACTATTATTTCTATTGTATAACTGTGATGGTTGGTCAAGGCAGGGTTAAAATAAACATGATTGTAATGAGGGACACAAAGTGTTATCTTCTCCCATGCCTGGGCAGAAGCATCTTTCGAAGTACATTTTATTCTTTGCTTGAATGAGGAAGGGTCTGCTTCCTTTCACCTGGGCATAGAAATCTTTTAATAGCAGAGATCTAAATGAATCTATGCTTTAATCATTTTTCTTCTTCTCCTTCTTGGGGGTGGGTGGGGCATAGAGGTATCTTTCATAAAGCGTATGTTCCCCTTGTTCCCCCACCACTTCTCCAGGTGCTTCTGGATAAACAAAAGCTTGCCACGTGCTACCAGTTGCCTGCAGTTTGTGGGTTAGTTGCTGCTGCTGTTCAACAACCGGATCTTGAAAACTGCGCAGTGTCTGTATCACACAAGTAAAACTGGAGGTGAGAAAGGAAATATGCTACAGCAAAGACTTGGCCTGCTACAAAAAGTTTCCTAAATAAGTGGCAGAAAGATGCAAATCATAACATAATATTTTCACTATTTTTGCATTGAGGTTTATACCTACAGGTTGTTTCTAGTAATATTTAATATGTCTTCTCCAGTTGAGTATCTGCTGATCACCAACAAAGTTATTTGTGTGATCTTATCCTGTACAGCATTTCCTACTAAACTTCCTGCTTGGTGAATCTCAGGTAATATTTCTGGGGTATTTATTCAAAATATATTAGGGTGAGGGAGACTACAGTGGCAAAAATCAGAAGTCTGATAGCATTAGTTTATTAAATATTTGTTAGTAAGAAAAGACTCATTATAATAGTTGTATCATCTCCGATACTTCATAAGTAATGAAGCAATTTTTACCAGAGGGAGGGACTGCAATCCGTGAGGAAGACAGATGTTTCCCACACATCTTCTTCTCCTTCCCTTAAATATTAATGGCTCAAATAAAAGGGAAAAAAAGCCTTTTTTCTGAGTTGTGTTGAGCAATTAGCACATATATGTGTTTGCATGATTTTCATTTGGACGGTGGCTGATTTAAAAATAAAGGTAGCCCTCAAGCTACGACCACAATTTCCATTGCTAAGCAAGACAGTTGTTAAGTGAGTTGAGCCCATTTTACAACCTTTTTGCCACAGTCGTTAAGTGAATCACTGCAGCTATTAAGTGAATCATGAGATTGTTAAGAGTTTGTGGGAAGCCAGCTGTGACCTCTGGACAGTGCAATTGGTATAAATATGTCAAGCATGCAAATTTTGATCACATGCCCATTGGGATGCTGCAATTATTATAAGTGTGAAAACTGGTTATAGGTAATTTTTTTCAGTGTCATTGTAATTTTGAATGTCACAAATCAAGAACCACCTTGTTTTCCTGAAAATATGACCTACCCTAAAAACAAGTTCTAGTCTGATTTTCATATCTGTGCCTAATATAAGCCTTACCCCCCAAAATTAGCCCAAGTTAAGCCCCACCCACCATCTGGTTGTATCAGGTGGGGCAAGGTACAGACGTAAAAATCAAGCTATAGTAAGGGCGTGGGTGAGCTGCCCCACACCTCATGCACCCACCTCATGGCTGTAATGATCCTAAGCTAAGAAGAGCAAGACATCCCCACAAAATAAGACCTAGTGCTTGTTTGGGGGCAGAAAACATGGTAACTATATTAGCTATCTCCTCACTCTATACTGAATCCTGAATTATACATAGAAAATTTCATGATATATTTTTGCAAACATTTTGACTCTCCACATGCTTGGAAACTTCACCCTCATCCTACCCCCACCCCCCCACCCCAGCTACAGATATTTGCACTATTGTTTCTCTTAACAATCACCAGCAAGGAGTCGGCTCAATGTAATTTCAGTCTAAATATTTATGGAGATTCTCAGTCATCCAGGTCATAGTTGTCCCAATGGTGCTTTTTCAAGAGGCAACTGGACTTTCAGCCTGTTCTGAACTGAAGATGCTTCCTGGATGAGAAGCAAAACATCTTCAAAGAAAAAAACAGAAAGTCCAGTTGCCTCTTGAAAAAGCACCTTTGGGAAAATTTCAGGCTACATTTCCTACATTGCAGTTCACAAACACTATTTGGAAGCAAAACAGAAACTTTTGAATATCATGATTATTATTTAGTTTCTAATACTACCCTTTTCCAGCTGAATATCTATGCTCACATAATAAACTACCAATTGCCTCCTTTGCCCATTCTGTCTGGATTATCACATTTTTACACCAATTAGACAATTACACTATTATGATGAAAAGGAAAAAAAACTCCACTCCTCTTTTTATACATAGCATCCTATCATTTCAAGAAGTGGAATAAAGGGACAATCATATGTATTTGGAAGGCAAACAGAAGGAGCCACCTGTAAACTTGTATGTGTTGTGGAGTTCAGGATTCTGGCTGTGATTGTCCTGTCCTCTTTGTGTTACCTCATGTAAGAAAGAGGAGAGCTTCAATCAGCGGTGGGTTCTTACTAGTTCTAACCACTTCTATAGAAGAATTCCACAAATCTACCATGCGGTTTAGAACTAGTTCCAGCTCCCTTCCCCTGCCCATCTGTACCACGCTTGCCCCGCTCGCCGCTCACTGATTGGCTGGCTCACCAATTGCCCCACCCGCCTCTAAGAGTCCTATCTAAACCATAAAGTCTTAAAGCTGCCAAGTTTGAACATCCCTGGGTTTCTATCTAAAGGGCTAGGTATGCAGGGGTCTTGTAACCTGACAACTTTAACACTTGCACACTTCAATGCCAGAGTTCCTGAGCCAACATGACTGGAGGAGAAATTCTGGGAGTTGAAGTCCCCCAGTCTTAAAGCTGTCAAGTTTGAACACCCCTGGGGTTTTTTTTTTCTAAAGGGTTAAGGGTGCAAGGGTCTTATAACTTGACAGCTTTAAGACTGGGGGACTTCAACTCCCAGAATTTCTCCTCCAGTCATGTTGGCTCAGGAACTCTGGCATTGAAGTGTGCAAGTGTTAAAGTTGTCAGGTTACAAGACCCCTGGG